CCCTCCCTCGTCCCTGTGAAATTGTTGGCAACTGTGGTTTTAGTATCTACCTTAGAATTTTCAATTCTTCTTGAACATTTTTCCTATTAGATTCTCCCACCATAGGACCCTACTTAATTATTTTTGAGTTGATGATTGAAGTTCAAGTTATGCAGTCAATATGAGTCAATGAGGGGTGTCTGCGGAAGGAAGTGGTCTAAAAAAAATCAACACATGTAAAAAAGGATCAGGGCTTTCATTGTGCAATTATGGCCACCATCTTGCCTTTTTTTACTCCCCTGTAGATGCTCCCACAATCCATTATATTCAGCTTTAGTTTCCACTACAGTAAAACATTTCAATATCGTGTAGTTACTTTCCCTCAATGTTCTTGCTACTTTAACTTTCCATCAAATGTTTTTGATTGATTAGTATCAGGTCAAAAACAGTTGCTCCTCTTGTGCTTTCCTGCCCTCTCTGATGGAGGAAGCTCTCAGCGGGGCAATTCAGCTGTTTCTTGGAACAATTGTGCTTGACGGAGTCAGTCTCCCAATAGATGTCAGGGTAATTACAGTTCCCTCTGAGGACTTTGGTGGAGCCTCTCTTCTAAAACTGGAAACAAATAGCCTTCAGAATTCTTCATCAGTGGATGTTTTCTCCAAGTTTCTCTAGAGGAGGAGAAATTTTCCAACCCGTGCTCAAGAGCAGTTTACCCCCTTACTAAAGACAGGAGAACTGCTCCTGAACAAGCACCTTGGAAGGAGGGTCCTAATACCTTGTCTTTGGACTGAATGGAAGTGTGGAAGCCAGCTGAATGGAAGATGGGACCTTCACACTCCACTTGTGAGAATTTCAGCAAACATTTCTTTTCCTTTGAAAAAATGTCTAACACACTTTTTTCATCCAGTCGAGAGAGAACTGGCATAAACATGCAAGATAATTTTGGTCCCAGTACTGCCTTCATCAGAGATCTCTTTCTTTCTTAAAAGAAAATGAAAATCAGTTTTAATTTCATATTTGAGGGCTTCCTCTGTTGATGCTTTTGGCTCCTTGAGACTCCCTGAGCTCTTACCAATTTTAGCACTGTGTTGGGCTTGGGGATCATGGACAGGAGGGGGGAATATTTGGGATGCCCTCACTGAGCTTTCCTTCCTTTCCTCCAGGAGGAAGGCCACCTTCTTAAACCCACACCACTTTGCGCCCTCGGTCTCCAGATGTGCTGGACCTGGCCAAAGAGCCTGTGATGCAAAGCTGAGCCGAGCCCCACGTGAAAGGTGGCTGTTTCTGAATATCCAACAAGCTGTTCCAACGCTTTCTGGATTTGGCTGAGCTTTTATTTGGGGCAGCTTTTGGTTTTTATCTCTTTACCATTTGGTTTTCAGGCTGCATCATGACAATTTTATGGTTCTGATAGTTTGTTTGTTTTTCAATGTGCTTTTTAAAATATTTATCATTATAGGTGCAAGTTGGTTTCAGATCACCATTTAAGTGGAAAAAAGGATAAATAAGGAAATATATCTGCTCATTAGATAAATAAGGAACTGCTTTTCTCCTCCTTTTCCCACCTCAGGAAACTCTGCTGGCACAGTTTCCAGAACTCCCACCAGCCCAGCTTAAATTCGGCCTCCTTGGAGATCAGCCGCCAGTCAGCAGCTCAGCTCAACCTTCTCCAGAAGTGCTCCCTTCTCTGCCTCACTGCCATCATGGAGAAGTACTCCATTCCCCACAAGCTGTCCTCATCCTGGTAAGTCCATGAGGAAAGGAAGGTCTTCAGCCCCCAGTGAGTGGGTCTGCAACCAGCAGCCTCTCCTTAGGAGGTGAGGGGCAATTGTAGATGGGTTGAGGGAAAGCAGGACCCTGGTTGCTGGGACTTGGATAGCATTGTCAGATCCTAGCTCTTGGTATGGTTTTGGCCTCTCTTTTCCGTGTGAGGCTGCATGTGATTCAAGGTGGCTCATAGAATCACAAAGTTAGAAGGCACTTCAGAAATCTTCTAGTCTAACCCCCTCCTTGATACAGAATTTGCTGAACAATTTCAGACAGATCCAGCTTCGGTTTGAAGACCTCCATTGCAGGATAATATGCCATTTCACGAGACAATCCATTCCATTGATTTTTATTGTCAGGAAATTCCTCATAATACCTAATCTAAATCTCCTTCTCTGTAGTTTCAACCTACCGGTTCTGGTTCTGCCCTCTGGGCCAATGCAATAAGCCCACTCCTTCTTCTGTGTGATAACTCTTTAGATATCTAAAGATTTGCTATAATCTCTCCTTTCAATCATCTTTTCTGTAGGCTAAACATGCCCAGATCCTTTAACAGCTTCTCATAGGATTTCCGCTTTGGTAGCTCTTCTCTGAACTTGTTCCAGTTTGTCAATGTCCTTTTTAGACTGGGGTGCTCAGAAGTAGACACAGTGTTCCATTTGTGACACAGAAGTCATTTGACTCTTTCAGATTTTGACCCAGAGAATTACTTACCTCTGTTCACATGACACACCAAATTGAGTCAAAGGTGGATTAGTGTGTCACGTGGGCCTGGAAACCCTAACAACCATGGGCTAGGAAAGGAGCATTTTAACCCCACATGGCCCCAGGACTATTTGAGGCCCAGTTACCCTCTTTCAGTTAGCTGTATCATGAACACAGAAGAGAAGGTTAGTTCTCTATTCCAGCAGCTGGACACGGAGAACCTAGAGTGGCCCCATCAAAACAGGACTTCTCCAGGGACTTACTTTTTGTTTTTTGCTTTTTACTTCTGCCCCCCCAACCCCTCTACAGAGGTGAAGTGAGGCAGAAAGGATTGATGGTCTGTACTGATTTCAGTCCCAGTCAAGACTATATTTTATTACTTTATTTCTTACACTATCTAAAAGAAAAAAAATCCACAGTTCTGAAGAGACTCTTGAGACCAAAATGTAACTTTTTGTTTTGAATGAAAAGTATTATGTGGGGTGAAAGGCAAACACTGCATTCCAGCATAAGAACCTTATCCCATCTGTGAAACGTGGTGGTGGCAATATCATGGTTTGGGCCTGCTTTGCTGCCTCTGGACCAGGGTGGCTTGCCATCGTTGATGGAACTATGAATTCTGAATTGTACCAGCAAATTCTACAGCAAAATGTCAGGGTAGCTGTCCGTGAACTGAAGCTCAAGAGAAAGTGGTCATGCAGCAAGACAATAACCCAAAACACACAAGTAGTATGACCAAAGAATGAATGGTTAAAGCAGAAGACTTAATGTTTTGGAAGGTCCTGACCTTAATCCTGCAGAAATGTTGTGGAAGGACCTGAAGCAGGTGATTCATGTGAGGAAGCCCACCAACATCCCTGAGCTGAAGCTGTTCTGTAAGGAGGAATGGGCTAAAATTCCTTTAAGCCAATGTGCAGGACTGATCAACAGCTATTGGAAATGTTTAATTGCAGTTATTGCTGTGCAAGGGGGTCACATCCGTTACTGAAAGCAAAGGTTCACGTACTTTGGCCGCACACAAATATGTAGCTTTGGATCATTTTCCTAGAGTTGCTTAGATAAAGGGACATGGGCGGGTAATAAATTGAGTAAATAAAATAAACAAACAAGCATATTGTTTTTGACTCATTTATTTAATTGGGTTCTCTTTATTTCATTTTAATACTTGTGTGGAGAACAGATCATGTTTTGAGTCATATTTATGCAGAAATGTGAGTCCACTGGAGTTGGGTGGCCAATAAATTTAAATAAATAAATAAATAAATAAATGATATTGAAAATCAAAAAGGGTTCACAGTAGCGTTTAAGCACTACTGTATGTGTGGCCCCTATAAATAAATATAAGAGAGGCATCCAGTGGAGCTACAACCCCAGGCTCGTGGAAGCAGCTAGAAGGGCTGACCTTGCCTTTTGAGCACCACTCTTTTCTCCGACAGGACTATTCCCAAGTTCATGAAGAGGAGCAAGCCCCCAGACTACAAGGGCAAGATGGTCTTTGGAGTCCCATTGATTGTCAGTGTCCAAAGGACGGGACAGCCCCTACCCCAGAGCATCCAGCTGGCCATGCGCTACATCCGAAGCCAGTGCCTGGACGAGGTGAGGGAAAAATTCAGCCCAGAGCTTGGAGGGTTACTCCACCCCGATTTTCTCCCTGGCCTAGGCAACCCATGTGGGAAGGAAGACAAAAGGAGCAGAGGAGGGCCTAATCCTGGTGTTAATCAGTCACAAGCTCCCATGCCTTAGAGGAAAAGAGGGGGTGGGAGAAAGGAGCCAAGTCATGCTGCAGCTTGAGTTGGGATCTGAGATAAGTGGCAGGCAGGAGGGTTTGGTCTTCAAAATTGGGACTCCCACTTCCTGGTTTACAAATGATCCAAATTGAGGGACAGATTGCAGCAAGGAACGACACTGGTGAAGGAGGATTTATGCCTGCCTCCTTGCTCTAAAGCAATGATAGCATTATTCAGATGTTTTGAAGGATAACTTCCAGAATCCCTGCCCCTTAGCTACATTGACTAATGGCTGTTGCAATCCAAAATGTACGAGGGACATCCGGTTGTAAAATGTGAAGCATTCCTCCATGTATCATTCTATGCAAAAAGTGTGTTTAACTTTGTACCCTGCAGAGGTTTGGTCACCTTCTGTTCATGTGGGGATTAACTGAAGCATTCAGTTTGACCAGAGATGCCTAAACTTTTGCATGCGACTTCTCTCTTCTCTCCAAACACCTTTTTTCCTGGATTTTTAACATCTTGTCTTTGAAAATATCCTGGAAGCTCAAGAGCTTGCAACAATTTTGAAAGCCATTTCCCTTTATGGGATTGAAGAATAATGACAATTGAGGAAATTTATTTTATAAATAAGTCATCACTTTCTCTTGGCCTAATAATACATTGTCTCTGTCTAGATTTTGATGTTTTTTTCTTCTCATGGCCAAGATAGTTACTTTGTTCTGGATGCTGTGTGGACTGAAAAAGAGGAAAATGTCTGCAACATATGAAACTAGACTAGAAATGGCTACTAGCAGCTAGGAGTTACAGCTGGCCCAGGAAGAGAGATACGGGCATATAAAGTGATTGTGCCGTTCCTGTATTCCCAGGCTCTCCGTTCTGACCACTGGTTGGCAGAGCTTTGGACTCACCCAACTTCCCTTCTGAGGTGAAGCTGTCATTTAATGAACTGAGGCTTCTGACTTGGAGCATGTTGGTTGAGTTGCATACACTCTGTGGCCCCATAGCCTCAGATGGCATCCTGTGCAAAGTAGCTCTTAAATCCAAGTTTGTATTCCTACCTGATACCACTTTCCTGGACAGGTTGGCATTTTTCGCAAATCTGGGTTAAAGTCTCGGATCCAGGTCCTCAGACAAATGAGTGAAACCTCTCCTGATTCTGTGGATTATGAAGGGCAATCAGCCTATGATGTGGCTGACCTTTTGAAGCAGTACGTCCGTGATCTCCCAGAGCCTGTCTTCACCAGCAAGCTGACGGACACATTTCTGCAGATATACCATTGTGAGCAGGGGTGGTGGTGGTGGTGGTGGTGGTGGTGGCGGTGAAGTCCCATGCTTTGGAACTTTAGTTGACCACCTCTTGGGTGGGAGGCAATATGTCCTTGAACAATAAGCTTGGCTAAATGGTGGTTCAGTGCCTTGTAGGGACTATCCACAGCAGTAGTTTGTCCTATGTATTTTTCACAGATGTGACTCTGATTCATAGAATTGTATTGCTGGTTGAGGTGCCGCTTTCTTCCCTTGTCTTTTGCCCCCAGTGGATATTGGGTGATGGCACTTGACCTGGACTGTTTCGCTTTGTGAGAATGCCGAGGACAGACATTGACAATGCACATGACAGTAATTTCATGCAGTTTTAAGAAATCATCTGTGCAACCCAGTGCAGGTGCTGCTGTCTCCTCCCCTCCCGCAAATGGACATTAGCAGTTTCGTCATCAGCTGGTTGATGGCTGCATAGGAGCAGACACAGATTTCTCAGTGGATATCTTTCTCCATCTTCCCAGGAAGTTTCTGTGTGACTGGTGGTTTCTGCTGCCATTGTCGATTGGCAGCAGAAACCATGCCAGCCACATTGACCTTGGTTTTGCTCTTTATCACTGCAAGCTGACTCCAGTTGCAGGGATCTAATGTGTGTGTTTGGGGTTATGACGGGGGTGAAGAGAAGGTATACATATTTGCATGTGCACACACACTTCACACATAGGCACATGCAGCTGGACCGCTACTGTTGGCCATATGGCCAAAAAGCTTGCTAGTCTCCGCTGGAGGCTGTGTATCTCATCTCTTTCCTCCAGAATTCTGTCCTGCAGCTCTGCTGCTTCTGGTTTTACTGCACCGCCAACTGGGGAAAAGCATGGCCATCCCACAGGCGGGTTCAGTGGATGAGTTTTGCCCACCCCACCAGAAGCTCTCGGTTTGGTTTGTTGTTTGAATATCCAAATGTATTAAGAATTGGAAATTGCTTTTTTTATTTTCAAGATATACCCAGTAGGGTAAAACATATGCCAATAAGGCTGGGCACAATCTCAGAAGCCAGAGGTAGAAGAGCTGAATGGAATTTCCTATCCTGTTGAGGGACAGGAAGTCCTCTGGCCTGATCCTGAAGAGCAGAGCAGGACTGAGCGAGTCTAGGCTTGTCTGTTTCACCTGCACAGTTTATTCAGGGAGCAGAATCCAATGTGGGGTTGGCAAGTTCCTGCTGTTGTTAGTATTCAGTCCACCCACAGCTCAGATACTGATTTTTCTTTCCTGAACTTTCCAGTTGTCCCCGAAGAGGAGAGGCTGCAAGCTGTACAGGCCACCATCATGTTAATGCCAGATGAGAACCGGGAGGTTTTGCAGACACTGCTCTATTTCTTCAGTGATGTTGCCTCTTCCAAGGAGAACCAGATGACAGCAGGAAACCTAGCTGTATGCCTAGCCCCCTCCATTTTCCACCTCAACATCTCCAAGGGCACTTCTCCAAGGTGAGGTGGCATTTCCCCACTGCAGATCAGATCTCTTTGCTCTTCACTCCCTTCTGCTCAAACCACAGGCTGATGGTGCTTTAGGGAGTACAGAGAGCAGATCACTGCTTCTGGACTGCAAGCCCAACATCAGCCTTTGGAGGCTGTATGTTCAAAAGAAACAGTTTATAAAGAGAGTAAGTCCAAAATTCATGCCATTCTGCACTACTTTTTTAGACACTGGAATAATGACTTCAGAACTGCAGTCATTCTCTTTTACTGACTCAAAACGGGGATCAGACTTCATTGTTGCATAGCTCTTTTCTGTTTGGAAAGGAGTGTGCACCTTGTGCTAGCTGTCCCTACGTTTACATGCTGCATTTGTATGTTTTATGTTATTTTTTTCCAAAAAAGAGAGGGAGAGGGAGAAAGGGTATATTATTTTGAGAGTCTTAAGTTGAAAGGCCCCCTGAAGTTGTATTAATAATTAATAACTCTTGATATGAATTAAAATCAGAAATCCATAGCTATACAACCTTAATGAGGCCAACTGACATTTATCATAGTTGTAAGTTAATGGGGGTTCTCAAAATTTTCTTCAGATGAAATGCTTAAAAACCTGGAAAAATAAGACTGAAAAATGGCTGTAGGCATTGTTGCAGGTCCCATCCGCTTGTGAGACTGAGGGAGATTTCATAGTTGGCTTGTCAGGGCTTGGGGCCAGGTCTAGAAGAAGAAAACTTCCCTTGAGCCTCCCTCTTTGCTGACTGTGGGCTGAATGGTTAGAACTGAGAACGGAGATGATACTGACCTCTTTTTATCCACATGACAGGTTGATTCACAAGAGGGGCACGATGGGAAAACTGGACCAGAAAGACCTGAATGAACACATGGCTGCCACCCAGGCCCTTTCCCACATGATTGCCGACTGCAAGAAGCTGTTCCAGGTGCCAGCTGCAATAATTGCCCTTTAGCTCAAGCAATTGCCTGGAGCTCCCAGAATTCCTAGCCAGTTGTAGAGGGAAGAGGGAATGACCTTGAGGGACAGGAGAAAGAGCCACTACCAAGACAATGGTCAGATAAAAGAGGACTGAGTCTGCGGCAGGAATGTAACCTGAGTAAATGTCTCTAGTTCTCACAAAGATGAGGGAGGGAGGGAGGGAGGGAAAAGTGCATTCACACTTGCAAGATTCTGTTAGTAAAGCTACACAATAAAAGTAGTGTTGACCTATATGACATTGGATTCCTAGTCTGATATACCTTGAAGGGCTGACATCAGTAAGGTCCAAAAGGAATTCTGGATGTTGCAATAGGAGCAAACCTGGAGGTCCCCAGACTGGCTCAAATATTTTAAAATTATTATTATTATTTTAAATATGTTTTTCTACTGCCAGTTTTTAAATGGTTTACCGTAAAATGAAAAAAGAGAACCATACAAAATAAGAGTATAATTAAGATAGCAAATCAACATAAAAAGCTTCAGTTGTTTGATTACATCCATCAGTTTGTTATTGACTCTTAGTAACCACAAAGACAGATTTTCTCCATGACTATCTGTCCCTAACCTGGTTTTTCAGGTCTTTCAACAGTGCACCCATCGCCGCTGTAACTGAGTCCATCAACCTTGTTGCTGGTCGTCCTCTTCTTCTCTTTCTTTCTATCTTTCCCATCATTAGAGCCTTCTCCAGAGAGCCTAGTCTTTGTGTAATGTGTCAGAAGTAGGAAAATTTGAGCCTGGTCCTTTGTGCTCAAGTGAGAACTCTGGTGATTTGTTCAATGATCCATCAGTTTGTTATTGACTCTTAGTAACCAGAAGTAGGAAAATTTGAGCCTGGTCCTTTGTGCTCAAGTGAGAACTCTGGTGATTTGTTCAATGATCCATCAGTTTGTTATTGACTCTTAGTAACCAAGTAGGAAAATTTGAGCCTGGTCCTTTGTGCTCAAGTGAGAACTCTGGTGATTTGTTCAATGATCCATCAGTTTGTTTTCTTGGCTGTCCGCAGTATTCTCAGGAGTCTTCTTCAACACTAAAGTTCAAAGATGTCAATACTTTTCCTATCCTGTTTCTTCAGGTCCAACTTTCACTTCCATAGAATATCACAGGGAACACTATGGCTTACACAATTCTGATCTTTGTAGGTATAGACTCATTGCAACATTTGAATATCTTTTCCAAGGCCTTCATGGCTGCTCTATCAAGTGCTAGTCTGTATCATATTTCTTGACTGTTTATTCCTTTACTGTAGATGGTTGATAATCAAAATTTATTTGCAGTCCAAAACCACCACTTTGATACCTTCATTGTCAATTCTGGTTATTCTACCTGTTGTCATTAGTCTGGTCTTCTTATATTTAATTTTAGTCCAATTTTTTTCACTGTGCTCCTTGACTTTGATTACTAGACCTTGCAGATCCTTTGAAATTTTGGCTAAGAGTAGTGCCATCAGCATAGTGCAGGTTATCAATGTTCCTTCCTCCAATTTTAAAGCCATGCTTATCTTCTTCCAATCCAGCTTCCCTTAATATATTTTCAGCATATAGGTTGAATAAATAAGGGGAGAGTATACAGCTTTGTCTCACTCCCTTGCCAACCTGGAATCAGTCTGTTTCACCATGTTCTGTTTGTGCTGTGGCTTTCTGACCTGTTTGTAAGTTTGTCGTGAGATGTTCCGAGATTCCCATTTTTCTGAGCACATTCCACAGCTTGACATGGTTGACACAATCAAGGCCTTTCTATAATCAATGAAGTACAATCTGACTTCTTTTTGGTATTCTTTGGGTTTCTCAATTATCCAGCATGCATCAGCAATAATGACTCACATTTCTCAGGCTTTTCTAAAACAATCTTGAACACATGACATCTTTTTTTCCATAAAGGGCTCTAATCTATGTTGGATGATCCTAAGCATTATTTTGCTAGCATGTGAAATAAAGGATATTGTACAATAGTTTGCACACTCTGCAATGTCTCCTTTTCTGGTGTTGGAATGTTGATTGACCTCTTCCAATCTATTGGCCATTGTGTTGTTCTCCAGATTTGCTGGCATAGCTTGGTTAGAAGCTTTACTGATTCTTCTTCTGTGGCTTGTCATATTTCCGTGGTTATATCCATCAGTTCCTGTAGCCTTCTGACTTGGTAATGACCAGACAGCTGATCCTTCATCTTCTAGTACTAGAGCCTCTTGTGGATAGGGAATATCTTCTAAGGTATCTTGGATGTTGACATCTCTACTGTACAGTATTCACTATATTCTTTCCATCTTTGATCTCCTTTGAATGGGCCATTGGCATCCTTCAGCACGCCAATTCGAGGTTGGAACCTCGTGATCTGTTCCACAGTCGGCACCTGGCCATGTCTTTGATGCTATAATTGAGCTCCTCCACCTCCTTTTAACAATAATATAGTCAATTTGATTTCTGTATATTCCATCTAGTGATGTCCATGTATAGGAGGCCTCATTTTGGTTGTTTGAAGACAGTGTTAGCTATGAAGAAATCACTGGAGTGGCAAAAAGCGATCTTCCACTTTATTTCAGTTTCCTAAGCCATACAATCCAACTACATTTTCCTCTTTCATGTTTCTAACTTTGGCATTCCAGTCTCCAATCGCAAGCGGCACATCTTGCTTGCATGTTCTGTCGATTTCAAGTTAACATTGCTCATAGAAGTTATCAGCCTCCTGTTCTTCTGCACTGGTGGCTGGGGCATAAACGTGAATGATCGTCATATGAAAGAGTTGTCCACGAAATCTAATTGGTCATTGATTTGGTCATTGTAACCCAGTACTGTTCTTGCTACACCCTTCCTAACCATAAAAGCAACACCATTCCTTCCTGAGTAATAAACTAAGATGCCTAAGATGTCAATCTGTAGTCATTTCATTTCATTTCATCTTTCATTGTGTTGAGCTTTCCCGTGTTCTTGCTTCTTATGTTCCATGTTCCCACTGTAATTCTGTCTTTGCAGCTTCAGATTTTCTTTTCCTGAATGGCAACGTCAGCAACTAGACGTCCCGAAGGCTTTAATCTAGCCACGACATAAACGTCATTAGTACTCTGAAAGATCCTCAGCTCTTCCTCAGTAGCATGCTGAGTGCCATCCAATCTGAGGGGCCTATCACTATATATTTATCACTATATATTTATCACTATATATATACATCTGGCACTATATAATCATTTTATATTTTTTATCCATGTGCTTTTTTTGGTAAAATTACAAGTGTGGTTTACCCTTGTCTTCTCCTGCGCAGTATGAATTAATGCCCTTGCCATTGTCACTAAAGGGATCATCCGCCTCCAGCATCTTCCTGTATCGCTGGTGCCCAATATAAGTGCCTGCTTGCTTTAACTGGGCAGCTGGGATGACCTTCAGACCTTGGGTGACCCTGCTGGATTTATATACTCTTGGCATACATTCCTGACATTCTTCAGTCACACACACACACACACACACACCACCACAATGAGGTAGCACAGCAGGACTTCGGGGTGGGGGGGGAATTTAGAGAACACAAAAGATTTATCCTGACATTGAAAATATAATAGTATTGATGCAGAGAGAGACATTTAAAAATAGAGCGCCATAGCCCCAAATGCCTTCTTGGTTGCCACTCACTTCACCTCAGGCTTCAAGGCACTGAGAAGATCTCAGGGGAAAGACAGCTTGACATGAGGGCAGATCTGGGTCCACAAGCTGTATAGGACTTCAACTTATAATATGCACATAAAAAGTAATTCCTGAAAACTTTATTATAGGCTTCTAGAAGGCCACTGTTGAAGTGCCTGCCTAAAGTGATGAAAGCTCTTCCCTGCCAATGAGCTTGCTTGAATCTGTGGTTAGAATTGTGTCTATCAAAAGAAGGGCGCCACTTTCCAAACCATGCCATCACCTTGGCCAGAAGAAGTTTTAAAGAAGCCCTCAGGAATTTATTAGATTCCATTAAACTTTACAGTGATCCATCTTCATAGACCATCCCCATCCTCTAGCAAACACCCCCAAAATTGTCTGGACAGGGAGAGTTTGTCCTCAGTGCCTAGAGTTGCTACAAGGATCATCTTTGTTTCTCCAGATTCCCCATGACATGATACTGCAACTCTCCAACTCTTACCTGTTAGCTGATGCTCAGCCACTCTCTGTACTTGAGTTGATGAGACAAAACCTGCAAGGAGAAATACAGGATTCCCACACAGACTTGGAAGCCAACATTCAAGACCTGCTGAAGGAATCATCAGAACGCTTCAAAAGTTGGATCAGCGCACCTGGCCCTCAAAACACTGAGCTGTCATGCAAGAAGGTAAGAGGGAGCTTAGCACCAAACTAAGGGAAGCTTTACAGCTGCTTTATGAGCTGTTGATGCACATGAGCAACAATTAGACCCATATTCAAGGTAGCCCTCCATGATAGTTGTGCTTGCTTATCTCTGTCAGTCATCTGTCTTACAGTGACTTCCTGGTAATTCATCATTCATTGGTAAGCAATGTTCGCGACTTTTAAGACAAGTCTTATGCTAACATCTTATTTGTTTCCATGTTTCAGCCTCAGTGGAAAATTCCTTCTTCCCCATCCCCTTCCTCACTGCCACTATAAAAGAGAGGAAAGAGGGGTTCCTCTGCACCCCAGTTCCTGGGCAACTGCTGCAACTGAAGTAGAAGTGGGGGTGGGGGAAGGAAGAAAGAGCAATCCTCACTAAAAAGGAAGCAGCTGTCAGCAGCAGCTAAGGCTGAGTAGACACTGGCCTAGGGCGCCAAAGCTTAGGGGGTCCCAATGCCACCCCTCTTTCCAAATCATTCTAAAAATGCAAATCTTCACATTGGCAGGAGGTGGTGCCTTCAGTCAATGTGGCCCAGAGTGCCACATATCCTTGAATATTCACATACACCGAATCCACCTTTGTTTTGTTCCAGGCCAAACAGACATAAACACACAAGAGAGGTGGTTGCAGATTTTACTGTTGGCCTTTTTAAAACAAGTGCCTTAGGGAGATAGGGAGAGCATGAGCACAATGTACACACGCACACAAGTGGGAAAAAGGTCCCCAAAGTCAAGCAAGCTTGCCTTACTAGAGTCGCAAAATCTCCAAGTCCAAAGCAGCAGGCAAAAGAGTAGTCAGGGTGAGGTCTGAGGGTCAAAGCATCACAGAAGATTCATCAGCTTGTCCGGGATTCAAAGTCACGTGATGCAAAAGTCAAGATTCAAGGCACACAGAGTCTGGTTTAGTGGATGGTTGTTTCCAGCAGAGAGGCTTAGCTTTGCCACTCTCCTTAAGCAGAGCCAGTGCCAATGTTGCTCCTTACAGGAGGGCTTCTTCCTTGCAGAGCACTTTTACTCTGCTCCCTTCTCTGGGCAGCAAGCCCTTCTCATCTTCAGAGACTGGCAGTGGCTGTTCCTGTTGATTGCCGGACAGCCCCACCTCAACTGCCTGCAGGTCCTCAGTTCATCCAGTAACTCTGGAGCAGGCTGCTCATTGTCGATCTCCTTGTCTAGTCTGAGCTCGCCATGACAACCTTGTAGATTTGAATGGTTGTAGGATTCGCAGGATCCTGGTGCAGGAACCGCAAACCAGGATGCTCTACTTTCACCCACAGTTGCTCCATCCCAGTCCAAATGGAGTTGGGAGGAGTTGATCTGTGCTCTTGAGGGTGAAATATTCTTGTGCCAGGACACCATATTTGCCCCAGCTTCCTAGAATTTGTATAAGGATATTCAGGGATGGTCAGCTCACAGAGCACACACAGGCCCTTTGTGGAATGATTTTGTAAAGCCTGTAGGCATGGGCATTCTCTGTTTCCAAGAGGAACCAAATTCTTGAAGTAAGTGAATGCAGAGATTGGCTGGCTGGCTGGCTGATGTATGCACATATGTATTCATTTATTTCCGAGCTTTATAACCCATCTAATAGACTCTTGATGCGTAATAGCAAAAGGTGGACCAAAAGATGTCTTGTTTCTGGAATGGCAAGGAAATACACAGAATATAAAAGCTACCCCCTTCCAGTCAGGAGCTGGAAATTGTTTTGATTCCAGAAATCTTTACAGGGATTACTTGGCACTTAAGGAAGATTGCCCGCCTCAGTGGGAGGCCTTCGGGGGGAATGGATTATGGGGAGGCTCCGCAGCTTTTGTCTGTCACTTGCACCCTACCTGGCCCTAAACATTAATGTGCTCATGCTTATCCAGGTTGAGGATGGGCATCCCCTGCAGCTCTGGAAGGTGTCCACTGAAGTGGATGCGCCGCCTCAGACGGTGCTCCAGCGAGTTCTCAGGGAAAGAGACCTTTGGGATGAAGACCTGCTGCAGAGTAATGTGGTGGAGTCTCTGGAAAAGAACACGGAAGTGTACCATTATGTGACCAATAGCATGGCCCCCCACCCACAGCGGGACTTTGTTGTTCTCAGGTGAGGAACATTAGGGAGGAAATCTCCCTTAGAAAGACCTCCCATGAAGTCGTCTTTCATCTCTGTGTCTCCGATCCCATCGTTTTCTGCATTAACGCTTTGCCTAGATCTTTTTATCTTGAATTGATGATGCCTTCATAACCATTTAGCTGAAGCACTGTGTCCTTGGCTTTGCCTTGCAGCCTTCCTGTACTGTCTTATATCCGCTCCTTTGCTGCCTTGTGCAACGTTTCCAGTTTCTGAAGAGAAACTCACACGCCACTGCTCTTGTTTTGGGGGTGTGGCAATTACAAGTTACTGTAAGATTCAGGACAAGGCTACCCCTCACCTCTCACTGCATCACATAGTTTGGGCTCATTGCATAGTGTCCCTGCTCTCATCTGCCCACTTCTTTTTTTATTTTGCTACTGCACTGTTTTTCTCTGGAAACAAAGCCCTTCTTTTCTTTCCAGTCAATTCAGAGTTGCCACCCAATTTCTCACTGATTACTTCTGCGCCCAGCTTATAAGTGGTGGCCATGCTCTAGCCAGGTTGGATTGAAGCCATGGGTAAAGTTAGAGTCAGAGCTTCAAAATCAGTTGAAAAAGTGACTCTTTCATGTCCGAAATAGAACAAAGCCTCATAACATTGTACTTGACTGGAAAGTAAATTTAATGCTGCAAATATTTCTAGCCTTTGTACGGTTCTGTCTTTCTTCTTAGCCCAAAGCAAGCAACCTGCTTTATACCCAGTGCCCTTTCTTGCCTGGGATGATCCCAGAAGCTCTTCCATCAGTTGCTTGACTAGGACAAGGCTGTATAGCCTCTTGAGGCTGGACATAGCAAATGGCTTTGTGCACACCTGAGCCAAGGTTACCTTTTATAGGACGTGGCATACAGACCTGCCCCGTGGGGGTTGCCTCCTTGTTTCCTTATCTGTGGACCATAAGAAGTTGCCACTGGAAGCTGGAGTCAGGGCCACGGTGCTTACCTCCCAGTATCTGATGGAGCCCTGCGGAATGGAACGCTCAAAGGTGACACACATCTGTCGAGCAGACCTCAGGTAAGAATTTGAGCCAGCTGTCCTAATTCTAATGGACAGGGAGGTGGGTATCCCTTTTGCCTGTATCCCCATAAAATTGTTCGGCTTCTCGCTCTACAAGCCATGACAGTTCTAATTCCCCTTAACCATGACAGGGAATTTCTCAGTCCAAAGTATCACCCTAGGTCTAACAGGACCTTCTCCAAGCTGCTGCTCTCCAAACGTGCTGGTTTTCAACTCTGTAAATTCCTGTACTGGCTAGGTGTTATTAAAGTTAAGTGCCAAGACATCTGAAGGGCATCAGATTGGGGAATACTTGTTCCACAGCATAGACAGAAAATACCCTTCACCTAAATCTGTTGCTTTGCAGTCAGGTGTTGAAATATGTGAAAATCTTGCCATGCAGAAGTATATGTTCATAGTTCATATTTCCCCAAGATAACCCATCCTATTCAAAGCAAGGCCAGGATTTTGCAACTTAACTGAATCAGTAAACTTGGATTTCCCCCTTTCAATATTTTGTTTCAGGTTCTGCTGTTAAGGATAAACCCCCCCCTAGACTGCTTCTGAGGTTCTAGAAGGTTGAGTTTGTTTGGGTTCTGAATTCCATTTATGCTTGCACAAAGGGAGGTCTTGCCCTGGGTGTAGCTAATTCCCTGCTTTTTGTACTTCTAGAGGGAGGTCTCCAGACTGGTACAACAAGGTCTTTGGCCATCTCTGTGCTATGGAGCTGGCCAGGATTCGTGATTCTTTCCCAGTGTCCAACCCATGTGAACCAGAAACAAAGATCTGAAGACATGCCACTAGATGGGTAGACTTCAAATAGTAATGCTTTTGGAGCAGAACGTTGGAATTGAACCTTTGCTTCATGGAGTCCAGATTCCTCCCTTTACTTTCTCTTTGTTCCTTTGTTCTCAAAGAACATTAGATCCGAGTCTCCCTAACAATTGTGCTGGTGGTTACTTCTCCATAAATTACCTCCAGGATTAGAAGAATGCTACTGAACACCCTTTACTAAAAGACACGATTGTGAAGAAGTTACTGGGCTTCTGCCTTGCTCTTGAGTTTTCAATATGCCTCTGGTTATTGTGAGAACAAGATGTTAGACTATCTGGTCTGATCTTGCAGATCTTCTCGTGATCTTCTGAGAAATCTATCAATCCTGTTTCAGGGAAAGCGAGCTTTAAAACCCCTTTGAAGGACTGACCTGCTGTGTTGAGGGCTGTCCTCAGATGAAGAGCACATGGTGTTTATTTAACCAGGCTTCAGGTTCAATGACTACCATCTCTTTACCTAAGGACTCAGTTTGTCCAAGCCATTTTCCTGCCACCTTTGAAAAATGCCCCAGTCAGGTTTGAGAGGATTGGGGAATCAGCCTCAGCACCGAATACTGCCTTGCAGCTATTTAATTGCAGTTACTCTCTCATTTGCAGATGGGTATACCTGTGCAGTGCTGCACCTGGGAAAAACCAGGGGGGTAGCAGAGGGGTAGGTGGAAGGAGGTCAGACATGGCAAGTTGTTATAATGCTTAAGCATAAACGAATGGCAGTCCTGGAGACAGGAAAGGAGAGCTGTGTGTGTCAGAGGTACGAAGTTTTCATTGCTGCCTTTGGCACAGAGACAGTGCGAGAAAGAACCAGAGCATGTGTATACTTGGTGACAGTGCCCATAATCTGTTGTTTGCTGCTCTTACCATTTTGTTCATGTTGACTTCCATCTCTTCAGGGGTACAAGGCCAAACGGGATTGAAATTATTCCAGGCTTTGTCCTCTTTAGCTTAGGTGGATAGAATGCTCCTGTTTCTACGAGTCAGTCTAATCTTTCAGACTAATGAGAATTCCCCAATAATTTTAAGGATTGAAAAGCAAGACAATGGAGGAAAAATTTGGAACTCCTGAACTTCTCACTTTTTTTTCTTTTTGCATAAGATATATGAATTTAAGATTGAACCCAGGTACCTGAAGCAGGGCTTTCAGGTCACTAACCCAAGTGAAATCTTTGGGTCCATGGAATTGAGGAAATCTCTACCATTGTGTAGCTCACATTTCATTCAGTGCTAATTGGTTTGGGGTAGTGGAACTCAGCCTTTAATGCTACTGTTGGCAGAGATGGTATGTGTAGGTAAGCCAGCCTGCCCTTTATGACCGCCATCATCCTGAATACTTCAGGAAAACTTTTGGGATGGGAAGAAGGGAAAGGGGAAAGGGATGTCACTGGAACACCAGAATTCTCCATCACCTTTTTGATACTCTAATTCTTCTTAAATTTACAGTTTGACCTTGGTTAATACTGGCCTGTAAGCATCCCAGTTTATTCTCTAACCAGGGCCCAATTAATGAGACAGCATTCCAAGTGGAAAGCAAGAAAACCTAATCTGTTAGAAATTTAGATAGATGTGTTTATTTGTTAAACTCAGTTAATTGTTCTTGCCAGCTTTCTTATGGTAAGAAGTTGTGTGCTGTTTGTGGGGCTTGTTTGTATTATTGCTTATGTTTGGGACTGTTATTTTTTAATCAACGTAAATGTTACTTTTCCTAGCTAACTGTAAATATTGTACAGTTGGAATATTAATTTAATATATAATGAGTGTGAGAACATGTGAACAGATGTACTTCCACCCACAGAAAAAGCTGTATTTTGTATTTAATAAATGTTTTTACAATTCTGCAGCGTGTTTAATAGAGAGAAGTTCCTCTTCTATTTATATGATAAATAAAGACTAACACAGCTGTTGGCCTCCAATAGTTCCCAACAACTCCTTCTAAGGCCATCTACAGAAATAAAGTCCTGAAGTGAGAGGCTGTGGTTTTGCTTTGCATTTGACAATAGAGGGGTACCTTTGGATTTACTAAATTTGGGTTTGAGTTTTTCAGCATCAGAACTGTGAAAACCAGAATGTTTGACTTTTTAAAGTTTGCTAATCTATTCGTAAATTAATCAAGGCAAATTCTGAATGATTCCTGAAGGCCATGATAGTAGAGTCAACAAAACTGGCCGAAGTATGGGCCATAAATGCTTTGAGTCTATTAGGGTTACTCTGAGGTACAGAGGTCTCTCTTTCTGTGCTTAAAGAAATTGTTTGCAATTCAAAAACCATTTTGCACTTGATTTATCAGTCAAATGTCTTATGGTAATTGCACACAGCCCTTAGATTTAAAACAGCTTTTATCTGACATGGATAGGGGTATCCTCAGCATGGCAAAGGGACCAGATGTGCACTGTGCATCACAGCACAAGCTTAGTCCCTTATACAGTTGCATGTGATGTCACACTACAGTTACCAAAGTGGTGGGGCTTTCATCACGATGCTGCAGTGCCCACTTTGTCATTTGCCCCTCCGCCCTTTGGACAGCCATGGACATCAAGGCTTACAAATGAAGCAAACCACAAATGAAGGAGTGATTAATTAGACCTGCTATTGTCAGAAAAGAAGTAATGCTATGCTGCCATTTCTTCCAGGTTTTCTTCCCTGTTTTTCTACTGCATTCTTTCAGTGCTTCAGAATTTGGTGCTGTGTTGCTGAGCTTTCCCAGTCTGAGCCCCATGGGATGAGGGGCCCCCTGAGGCCTTTCCTTGGGACTGAGTAGCAGCAGGTGAAGCTAGCAAGACTGGAGAGAGGAAGGGAGGAGGAGGAGATGTGTGTGTACCCTCAGCTCCCTTAATGTGCCAGAACCTCACTGCCCACTGGGAGAATTTTGCCACAAGGTCTTTTCTCCTTTGCGATTGCTGACAAAATGAAGAATAACATTGACCCCCTTGCTAATCGCCACACGTTTAATTGTTTCATGCTGCAACTGACTAGACTTCAGAGAACTTAACATTCTTTTGATTGGGGTGGGGAACTGCCCCCACTCAGACGTTGTTGAACTACCGACTCCCAGCAGCCCCAGCCAGTAGGGCCAATGGTGAGGAATGTTAGGGGCCAATTGAGATATTTTTCAACAAGCATTTTCACAAATTGGTTCCTAGTATTCCTCACCATTGGCCCTAGTGGCTGGGGCTGCTGGGAGTCAGTAGTTCAACAACAACGTCTGGGGGGGCACTCACTCACTTGAACATGTTTGCACTGCTTTGCCTCTATCTAGCATGTACACATCCCTGCCCAGGGATGAGGGGCATTTCACATCCGGGGCTGATCAGGATACTCAACATCATATACCGAAACTCCTGTCTTGAGGCTGCAGTAATGGATTGATGTGGAGGGGGCTTTTTTTTCTTCCTTTTTGTTCAGTAACAGTTATCCCATTTTAGCAAAAAGTGTGACACCCGAGGTCTCGGTTTCACAGCTTCACTGCAAGAGAACGTTCAGGAATGTTATTCTGTTCATCTGAAAAGAGAGCGCTGCACACCTGGCACCGAATGGCCAGAAAGTGAGGGAAATGAGCCTGGGGTGGCATGGTGGAATCGACTCTGGCCAGAACCATCAAAGAGCAGCAAAAGAGCCTGTTCAGTCTAGCCCTGGTTGACCGACAAGCATCTCCTTGCCCCTAGATGCTTGTTTCTTTTGTACACCTTGCTGACGGCAGTCCTGTGATTGAGCAATCTAAGGAAACTAAGGAGGAATCCAGGATGAACACTTGGAGCTCTAAGAACAGGAACGTGGCTGCTTTCAATTACAGTCAGTTTCTCGGCCAAGCGGGTGGTGCTCCCTGGTTTTCCTACTGGGTCTGCAGTGGTGGATTCTAATAGTGGGCAGGGTGTTGGAATAGATGATCTCTAAGATCCCTTGAAACCCTTACATGTTGTGTCTTTGGACTGCTCAATTCTTGAAGTCTAAATGGCTGGTGCTGGTGCTCTGCAGGGATGGGAGGACAACACTTTTCCCCCGGCTCTTCTGCAGAGAGGATCTGTTCGTCTGAAGCCACTGTTGGAGCTTCTCCTGGAACGAGCTGGTGGTGAGAGTGTAGAGGATTGGGTTCAAGGTGCTGTTGATGGGCAGGATAAAGATGACCACCCAGGATGCCATGGTACCTGTACAGGAAGAGCCTGGTTATTAAGGAGACACAGAATTCCCTCCCAGAAACAACTGTCCTCAAGCCTTAACTGCAATTTGATCTATCCTTGTAACAGATTATAGTGTTAAGGCTTTTTGTATGCTTATATCATTAGTGCTTCTATATTAAATATTCATAAGGTTGCTTTAAAAGCAGCTATTTTCATAGCCTTCAGTTGAACTTACTATTTTGTCTTCAGTTACATATTCTTCCTCTATATAACAAGTCACTTAAACATTCTAGACTCATAATTTGCAAGTTTAACAAAGCCAATGTCAGACTTGAAAGCCTGCTGATACGGGAGTGCTGGCTGCAGTTTGGAGTACAGAAACGGTGGCCTTGATCGTCTGGACGACGTGTAAGGGAATAGAGCAGTTCTGTCCCTTCTGGGGAAGAAATGGCCGATTGAGCATGGCTCCATTTTTTGCAGAGTCGATGCCCATGGCCATTAGAGGAGCTGGCACCAGTTCAGCATTTCCAGAGATGCTCCTGACAGAGAATCCCTGTGAAGAGACTGCAGTCGAGCAATCTCTAGCGGGTGGAGCGCTCTGGGAGTCGAGGGGAAAACGTGGAGCCTAAGCCATGCTGTGGAGCGAGCCTTCAAAAGGACTTTGGATTTGCTTTACTTCCTCTTTTAATTAATAAATTAATTAACTGCCTAGTTGTGATTTATTTGGCAATTAAAAACCCCCTGAAAGACAAGCTGCTGTACACTGGGAGAATTTCCTACCATTCTGGGAGAAAGAAGACTACAGTAAGTTTAAAGATCAAAAAGAAATATTTTAACATTTGGAAACAGTGAAAGGGAATTAAGAATGTTGATTGGGGACAGTTAAGAGGCTAGATAGATTTGTTTAAAGGATTGTTTTAAATGTTTAAGAAAATACAGTAAGTGAATTTGGATTTAATTGCAAGAAAATTTGTCTTGGGAAAGTTTTGCTTCTGAACATAAACACCAGATACGACAGCTTTCAAGGCCAGAGGGAACGAAGAGCAATTAGAGGAATATATCTCTTTTAACACAATGGAGGAGTATCTTTCAAAGAAGAATTTTTAGCTGTTTGGAATCAGTGTGTCCAGGAACTATTTTTAAAATTGGGACCAACTGAGGTTGTAGAAGAAGAAAAGATTTTACTGGACAAACAGCAGTTGAGGACAACTTGAATAAGGTTTCTAAAAAGGGCTTTAAAGAAATACCAGATTATAAGAGAGAGATGGAAGATATGGAAAAAAAATGCTGTGGATCTGAAGATGGACTCAAAGTTGCTTGATGATATGGAGAAAGAAGCTGTAATGGATCAGAAGAATGACTCTGAGAATTATCCTATTTTGGACCCACAGAAGGGAAACACCAAATATCTGAAACCTTTTCTGAAAATAATAAGAGATTGCTATTTGGGGTTTTATTTGGAGAAGAGAGCCTTCCAAAAAAGAAGAGAAAGGAAGGTGGATTTATCAGATCAGGTTAAATTGTCTATGTTTTGATCTTGGATTGTTGATACTGATTTTTTTTCCCTCTGACCTGGACTGTAAGACAGTGATTTATACCTGTAAAAGTTATTTATTTGGTTTAGTTTAAAATCTATATGTGATTATCATTGGTATTTTGTATCCATAAGGGGAGAGATCTTTTAGGTTTTGTTTTTCAGAAAAAAATTAGAAGTTAAAATGCAAAACAGACCTTTTAGTTTAAGCTTAAAATATATAGTTTATTGTTACTGGCACTCTTAATACTTTTGCTGATTAAATTGATTACTGAATATTTTTCATAATCCGGTTATTGTTTAGGGATGAGAAAGAGAATGAAGAGGGCTTTTTTTTTAGTAATATTAGAGAAGGTGTTAAATGTTAATGCATATACTTGCTTGGAGGGAAGGGGAAGTCATCTTTTATATTTCTTTCTCTTTTCTCTTTCTCTTTTTTCTTTCTTTTTTGTTTGTTTGTAGGTCTCTTAGTTTTGTATTAGTTTTTTTATATATAAACTTTAATAAATATACAGTACTGTGCAAAAGTTTTAGGCAGGTGTGAAAAAATGGTGTAATGTAAGAATGCTTTCAAAAATATATATTGTAATTGTTTATGTTTATCAATCTACCAAATGCCAAGTGAGTGAACTTGAAAGCATTCTTTACAGCATTTTTCCACACCTGCCTAAAACTTGCACAGTACTGTATACATTATATTTAAAAAAAAGGAATAGAGCAGCTTTGTGTTCAGGTTTTACCTGAACCTTCTTACCCACCTGGCCAACAGCATCACCCTCCTTTTAGAAGTGCACAAGATCAGGGTTTCCCAGTCTCAGAAGCTGGCAGAAGGGGTTTGGGGTGTGATGGGGGACCCCCGTTTCCAGGCTCTGAGATGGAGAGCGGAATTGACTAGGTGCCGAGATGCTGTTCCGGGGGGCTTGGATTGCACACACCTTCTACACCCACTACACTGACTTGATGGTCTTCCATCTTTTAATAATAATTTTCTGTTACGCTTCTCCTTCACCTGCGGCACTAGCTGGTGCTATTGCAGTGTTTCCGGCTGACTGCCGTCTCACTGCTGAGGAGAAGGCAACATAGTCAGGCCTCGTTCTACGATTGCGCATCTATTGGTAATTTCTGAACTATGCTAGGAACCAATGTTCTTGTTCATTTTTTATAGATCTCCTGTTCAGGGAGGTGAACGTTTAAAAGACGTTTATCCCAAATCCATGATGTTCGTTGCACTATTTTTTTCTCCCTCATGCGCTGAGATAGTAAATACTGTAGCTCATTTCCCAAAGAACTGCATTTTGAACCCCAAACACTTTGTAACAGTTGACAGCTCAGAAAGAGTAACGTTCCCCTTACGGCAGTGTTGTCCAAACCTGGCCACTTTAAGATGAGTGGACTTCAGCTCCCAGAATTCCCCAGCCAGCCACGTGGCCAAGTTTGGACAGCACTGCTTTATGGCTTCCCCCACCTGAATTTCCAAGGCTGGGCTGGGCTCCTTCCAATGTGGAGGAGGCCGAGGGAAGGGCAAGGCTGCTTCTCCCACTCTAGTCCTTGTTCGATAGTGGAGCAGCAGCCTGCCCTGGCACCTCGCACCCTCCTTGAGCCTGGGCCGCATTAATCCTTCGAACGCAGGGGCAGGCCAGGACAGAAGAGGGCGAAGAGCTAGGGCTTTCGGGCTGTCCCTCTATCCTGTCTTGGTCTGGGTTTGCTTTGAGATATTTGTTTATTTTTTAGGTCAGAGAATGCATGAGGTGGAGGGGACCTTATCAGTGTGAAAACCCACAGAACTGCCCTGGACTGTCCAGCCAGTCGGAAAGCTCCAGGAAGGGGGAGCACACTGTTAGTTTAGGCAAATTGCTCCTATTATTTATTCTGAATCTCCTATACGTTCAGCTTCAACCCGTTGGTCCTTGTTGCTTTCAACAGAGGACAGACCTCTCTTGCATACGGTAGTCTCTGAGATATTTGCAGATCGCTTTCCAGCACCTGAATCTTCCCCTTGGCAAGCTAATTATGCACAGCTCACAGGACTGTGCTTCCACTCCCCCACCCCCACCCCCACCCCATTGCCCGATAAATCTGTGGACCTGCTCCAGCGTCTTCAAGTTGCCCAAAACTGGAGACTGAAATCCAGATGTACTATAATCAGAGTACAATGAAACGATTACTTCCTGTGATCTGGACCGATGCTTATGTTAAGCTCAGTTGTGAGTTAATGTACCTATTTTGTTTGATTTTCTAGTGAAAAGCTGGATACAATTATTAAAACAGCACAATTGGAGTGGGGGGTTCAAGGTACTCTGCAGGAAGAGTTTGGTGGCAGGTTGTCCGTCCCTGCCCTTAACTAAAGCCAAATAAATGCACTGTAGTTTCATATGAAGTGTGAACTCAAGCACCAGTGTCTGCAGGATAAAACTGGAAGCAAATATTCCTGGTTTTTGTCTTTGTGGCAGGGCTGCAAAGGAAAAGATGGGGCCTAGACATCTGATGCCCCAGAGGACATGCACACCAGTCTCCAAGTTGTTGCCAAAGAGTTGTACTTTCATCTCTCAAACAATATGCAGTCTTTTCAGAGATGTGCAGGAAAAAGAATAGAATAAAGCAGACATCCATTCCCTTTATCATGTGAAGAAACATTTAAGAGCGCAGTGAAGCATGGGGAGCCCATCATTTAACATCCAGAGAAGCTATGTTTTCATGGCAAAGTTGGCAAAATACACCATCTACCTGGAATCTCTATATCCAGCAGCAAAAGGAGCTTCAAGAGGAAGATGGGGATCCAGCAGAGGGCATTTGTGGAAACGATGAAGAAGAACCTCTTGGCTAAAGTCACCTCCATGGCGAAAATGCTGCGCTTGACTGTCTTGGCTGCAGTGGCATGGATGGAATAAAACATGCTGCTGTAGGCAAATACAATGATCACAAATGCCACCAGGTTCAGACCTGCCATGGGAAAAGGCGAGAAAAGCTAACTTAATACAAATACAAAGGGAGTGAGATGTAGAGAGTTCCTGCTCTCCATCTTGATGCTAAGGTTTTAGTAGGGTATAGGGTACCCTACTGCCAGCCACAGTCACTGCTTCAGTCACAGGGCCTGGATATTTTCGGGCATGTCTCCTGGCAGTTTTTATCTTTGCACATCCATGATGAATAAGGAGAGAATGTTTGAACAGCCCCACACACCGCACCAGAACACAGCAAGATCAACAGAACTTTTCTCTATTCAACCATGGAATGAAACAGGTTTGGGTTCAATGAAATTCCATTTTAAAACTACTTTTCCTTGTGAAGGAGCCGTTGACTTCTATGGATAATAAAATTGGACATTCCCCATTCAGGTCTTGTGGCCTTGGCACTTGGAAGCTACTGTCCAAATGCAAAGTATTGTTGGTGCAAGCCAGCTGTGTTCCGATTTGTGCAAAGTATTTTGGTGCCTAAGGCAGGAAACTTGAATGTTGGGCTGGAGAGCAAAATGTAGCAATAAATGACAATTGGGCTGCCTTTTAATGACATCTCAGCTAATTCATGGGAGGACTGGCTTGGTAGGCAGAACTCTAAACATCTGGCTGTGTTTAACCATAATAATAATATAACAATAAAAACCAGGCCTTGTTTTGTGGTGCCTAGAATGTGGGCATCACTTTGTTGCCTTGAGTCTTGATGGACCAGGCTACCTCCAGTATATTTGTTGTTCCCAGTATACCTTTCTCCTGGATGCTCTGTGCCTTTCCCCCACTTATTTCCTATGCCATGCCCATTAACCAGAATTCTCTGGCCCCTGAGTGACCACTGGACTGCTCTGGGGGATTTCTTCCTCCAACTGAGGGTTTATAACCTCAATATTTTGTATGTTTGTTTCTGTGAATCTTGGCCAAACTACAGGTAGTCCTTGTTTAGTAACCACAACTGGTTCTGGCGAAATGGTCACTAAACAAACCATGTATCAGCGAGAGGCAGAGACAGAGAGACGCTGCAAAGAGGTCCCACTGCTTCATTCAGACACAGTTCTCCTGTGTAGCAAAACCAGCAACACTCTCACTCTGGTGTGAGTTGTTGTCAGGTGCAGAAACTTGGGCATAGGTGTGCGCATTTTTACTACTGTTTACTACTGTTCATTACTGTTATATTTGCAAACAGTCACTTTCTGAGGCAGTTGCTAAACAAGGACTACCTGTATTTGGCCACATTAGCAGTGGCCCTCCAATCTGCAAAGGGTGGGGAGATTCATCCCTCCCAGTCCACCTGCAGTTTCATTCATGCTCATCCAGGACGTATTAGAATTAGTCATGGGGGGGGAGTTTGCTGCTTCAGCACAAAGAACCAAAGCCCATCCATCCCTCCTAGGTGCCAAATAATTTATCTCCTCTCCCCAGGACGATCTAGAAAGTCTTACCCAGGAATATGCCTGCGGAGTAGGCTCGGGCCCCTCGGCTCTCGTTCTCCCCAGACAGGAGGGGGAAGCAGACACCATTCCTGCCATAATAGTTGCCGAAAGACTCCTTGCACAAGAAGGGCACCACTGTCAAGGAGAGGCCCAGAAGCCAGATGATGGCCAGGGCAGAAAAGGTTTGCCTCTTGCTTGCCCCATAGTGGCTGAATGGGAACACGACGCACAGATACTTCTCCAGAGTCATGTAAGTCAGCACCAGGACAGAGACCTCAGAGGAAAGCATGGCCAGGCTGCCTACCAACTGGCACGATTTGCTTGCCATCCAGCTCTGGGCATGCTTGTTGTACTCTCTGGAGAACTTGAGGTCAAACGACCCAAGGGAAAAGAGGTAGATGCCCATCAAGCAATCAGCACCTGGAACAGAGACAGGAAGGGATGACCGGCTTTTGGTGAAGAAATAGTAAAAACTTTCCCACACTGTTTCTCTTCCACCTGGCCACGGATCAGGGCAGCTTGTAAGAACCGCAAAATAGCATTTAGTAGTGTTGAAAATGCTACGGTGATTACTTTAAAAACAGCTTTAAAATTCCACATCCTGCAGGAAAGTGAAAGTAATACATGGATTCCTTCTGTATATGAACAGTGCAGGGCATTCCAGTAATTTTACAGCCCCTGGGTTTTATCAGAAAAGAAAATCTCAAGGCACTTGGACATTTTCTGGCCAGTCAGAAAGTTCGGTCTAGTTCTGGTCATATTCAGAGATGTTGGCGTAAGATGCTTAGTGCAGTATATTAGAAGTACTAACTGGTGTATCTATGATGTACTGAACTGTTAGTTTAAGTTTTGCTTTTCCTGAATCCCACGGGCCATATTAGCAACGTATATCATTTTTTAAAATTTCTTTTTAAAAAAATTATGCAATTATATGCTGGCTTTTAAAAGAAAAACTTTCACACGGTGGAATACAACCAATATCATTAAAATTATTACAGTGCCAGGCAAGAGTCATTATGGAATTGGGCAGCCTTAGAAATTGGATTGATAAATGACAATAGTGGGAATATCGAACCTGACAGCACTAGCGGGCCCAGCCCTCCTCCAGAGGAGATCAAGAGCAAATATGGAGATAAGGCAAAACAGTTCCAACCAACCAAGAAAACAGGAAGCTATAAAGTTGCAGCACAACCAGAGGGCAACTGACCTGTAGATCTTGCTGAACTGCAACCCCAGCCCTTCTCACCGTCAACCATGGTTCAGCAATATCTGAAGTACTGTAAATTGTGATCCTTGTTTATCATTTTTATTAACTGTATTTATATCCCACACACTTCTGGCACAAATAAATCTTTGGTCTAGACTTCCCCTGTTATTTGAAAAAGTGAAATTCCAGGTGAAAAACAAAACAAAGCAAACCTCTCCCTGAAGTAAAAGGAGGACCACCACAGGTGTGGCGGGTTCAGTACCTGAGATAAAGCCACCTGTTGTGATAGCAAGAATGGCGGCCGTGACGTTCCCCCCTCTGTCCCTGCTTACAGCCCTTCCATTTTGTTCAAAAAGCAAGCCGTTTGGCTGGAGTCCAAAGAACCCGCAGCTTCTAAAAAACTAAACTTTTTAAAAACGGTCAACTTTTTACGGAGCTGCACACATTCTTCGGGCTCTGCCAACCCAAAACAATCAAAGAGCTCACCTTTGTCAGAATGGACAGAGATTACGCTTACTTTAAAAAAACAAAACAAAACAAAAAGCCAAAGTGGCCATTTCAGGGCTCCCCCAGTGTTTAAAATACCGTACAACCTTTTAAAGGTCGACTGCTACCATTCCTGACCCCGGCACGGGGCCTTTCCCCTTCTTCCTGGTGCTTCCTGGACTGACCATGAGGCACACGTTTTTAGAAGCAGAAACAAAGCCTGCTTTTAAAAGCTGAAAGAACCTGGAAGCGGTCACTCAACCTCCTGGAAGGTTTCTGAGAAATCAAATGCAATCACTGCCCCGCATTCCTGGAGGGGGTGGGCAGGACAAGCACCAGGCAGACCCCGTTCTGCTCCTCCTGTTTGCTGCACCACACATTCTTCTGGGCCAACGCCCCCCACCCCAGATCCCACCCCAGGGGAATTCTGTGTGGAATTCGTTGACACCCTTGCAGACCACCTTCCAGCAGGAGGAAAAGAGCAGCTGGTGACTAATCCAATATGCGCAGTGAGGAGACATACCCAAGGAGGCTTCAGAGAAGTAGCTCGGAGGCCACTAGCGCACGCTCTGAATGCAAACCAGAGCAACTGCTTCTGCCTTGCCTGCCACAGGATCGCCCTCCATATCCAAGGCTTTACCACTCTAGCCTCATCTCACTGAGGCAGTGGTTTGTTATAGCAGCCCCTGTAACGTTTTTATAGTGGCCCCTTTTCTCTCCCAGACAGCGCTTCTACCTCCCATTTCACATTTCCCATACTTAGAAGGTGCAGGCCTTGCTCCTCTAGGTCACTCTCTATCCTGCGACTTTCCAGAAAGACTCAATCCGCTGCACCTCAGGCCACGTACACCCTGGATAATTACGTGCAACTTGGCGCTCATCTTCTGTACCAAACTGCATCAAGGCAGAGTATCCCAGGAGGTGGATCCTGAAAGTCATATTATCTGATGCAGGGCTACTTGGAAGCAAGAGTGCCACTGCCCTAACCCTTCCCTCCCTCCCTTCCTCCCACTGGCATGCTTACAGCAGAGACACTTGATGGCCATGGTGTGCTTGCTGTTTTCAGTGACAATGAAGGACCGGGTGAAGATGACAAAGAGGTTCCCAGTGCAGCTGAGAAAGGCAACCACCCAGACAAAGACTCTGAGGATGATGTTGGCCAAGAGATTCTCGAAGGAGGAAATCCCATCTGTGTTCGGCTTACAGCTGCGGACGTGAGGGGCAAAGCTGCAGTACTGGAACTTCTTAAAGTAGCTGTGACAGACAAGAAGGGGTCCTTGTTCAAATTCAGAGGGGTGGGATACAGTCATTCTTATCCAAGAAGAGATGCCGGCCTCCCATTCTGTTCATTAATACTACAGTACAGCACTCTCAACTCATCTGGCTAGCCCCCCACGTCTTTAGGAAGGGCTGGTCCAGCGCACCTAGGACTTCCTTAATATGCCCTCTGAGAATTCCTGTAATGCTTCTAAGGCCTTTGTCTTCTTTAGCAAAGCCAAAGTCCTTTCCTGTTATCTCTGGGCAATCAGAATAAGCATTAGAAATCCACATTTGATCAAGCATTGTGCTCTTGATCAACCACTCTTCTTGCTCTCCTTTTCATGGTTACTGCTTTGCTTACAAAAGATCACACATAGCTTTGTGACCTTCAGTTGCTAATACTGCATTATCATGGCTTTTTCCTTATGGTCAACACGTGGTCTCAAAATACAGGAATTGCCAACTCCCACCTGAGTATAGTGTGCCAAATGGACACATGTAGCTTTTCTTTCAGGAATCTGTGAAGGACAGCAATCCTCTTACAACTGGCTGAAACTCTGGGAGGTTTCCCCCCCATTAATTATGGTTTTAAATTCAGTTGAATACGTTTCTGAGAAGCCCAAGGAATTGTTTCTCATCACTACCACTGGCTGTAGCTGTTTGAGTAACCTCACCCCTTCTGCAAGATAGAGAAGACCAACTGCAGGGCACCTAGTCCTGAGTAAGCAGAGCTGGACTCTTTTTTCCACCACTTAGCATGGTGTTGTCCAAACTTGGCCACTTTAAGATGTTGGCTGGAGAATTCTGGGAGTTGAAGTCCACTCATCTTAAAGTGGCCAAGTTTGGACAACACTGACTTAGCAGGAAAAGCAAAGGAGCAGGGAACAAACAATATTAAGAAGGCAGAAGCATATAAAACTACCTGTGTCACACAGTATTTTGAGGCAAGGGTTTCTACGCACGTTGGCTTAAGGGTAGAGTTATATTTTTTCTGGATTTCCTTCAACTTTATGTTCCAGATATTGTCTGCTTCCTTGGATCTCTTTTAGGTTTTTGATTTTAAGTACAGGCATTTGGAAAGTATTCAGACCCCCTTCACTTTTTTCAGTTTTGTTATGTTGCAGCCTGACACTACAATCGTTCAAATTCATTTTTTTCCTCATTAATCTACACTCATTACCCCATAATGACAAAATGAAAACAGAATTGTAGAAATGTCTCTAAATGTATTAAAAAGGAAAAACTGAAATATCACATTGGCATAAATATTCAGACT